TGTCTGAAACGTCTCCTTTCTCTGTCCAGGTCCGATTCCTTGAACAACAAAACAAGGTCCTGGAGACCAAGTGGGCTCTTCTGCAAGAACAGGGGAGCAAAACAGTCAGAAACAACATCAAGCCCCTCTTTGAGACCTACATCAACAATCTCAGGAGACAGCTGAACAGCTTGCTGACAGACAAGGAGAACTTGGGAGGGGAGCTGAGCAAGGTGCAAGGCCTTGCTGAGGACTTCAAGAACAAGTAAGTCTATCCATCTGGGGGCTGTGACAGGCGAGCAGGGGGGCTGCGACAGGCACTAGCTGTCTTGCAGGTGTGCAGTCAAATGAGAGAAGCATATGTTTTGGCTGATATAATCTTCTGAGTAAGGCCCAGGTTAAGTTTGATACAAGACATTCAGCCTTACTTCCCCAGGGCTGAAATTCACCCCCAGAAGCTTAGAGGGCTAAGAGACAAAGGTACAAAACTGCATGCATACATACCAAAAAAAAAAAAAAAAAGAGGCTGGTCCTGAAAATATGAAATAATGTTTGTCCAAACCTAGAGCAACCCTCCCTTTCCATCCCACAGATATGAAGAGGAGATCAACAAGCACACAGCTGTCGAGAACGAATTTGTGATCCTGAAGAAGGTGGGTGCACGCACGTGGTGCCTCCCAGCCGCACGAGCATAGCAAGAAACATGTTCTCCAGCTTTTCCTCTGCTTCTCCGAAAACAACTTCATTTTTGTGATGTGTTTCTTCTCCTAGGAGGTGGACGCTGCATACATGAACAAGACAGAACTGCAAGCCAGGCTGGACTCCCTTATGGAGGAGATAGATTTCCTCAGAGCCCTCTATGAAGCTGTAAGCACCAGCGTTTACATCCTTCTCCCAGTTTCCAGCGTCCTTGCTTTCCTTTCCCATTTCAGAGGCTCAGGACTCAATTTTTGCCACTCTGTTGCACTAAATAATTCAATACTTTTTCCATTTCGCCTGCTATCTTAACCCTGCCTGAAACTGTCTTGATAAAATGACTTTGTCCACTTTGTCCACCTTCTAATTTAGGGGGTTTCCTCCCTCTGAGCAACACCTGCGACTCACTGAAATGCCCGGTGCTTTTGTAGGAGCTGTCTCAGATGCAGACCCAGATCTCCGACACCTCGGTCATCCTGACCATGGACAACAACCGCAGCCTGGACATGGACAGCATCATCGCAGAGGTCAAAGCGCAGTATGAGGACATCGCCAACCGGAGCCGGGCAGAGGCTGAATCTTGGTACCAGTCCAGGGTGAGTGGTTAGGAGAGCTTCTGCAGTGGGAAACCCATGCTCCCTCCCCCAAATCCCCACGGGGAGGTGGGTCCCACTGTGATTTTTGTAACACAGGATATCTTCAGATTTAGTAATTCTATAAAGTTTGGAAGTGCTAATTTAGGACTGAGAACATACACACACTTCTGAGTGCAAACACACACATCCATGTTCTGCTTGGCTCTAAACCCAATGGATTTTACCTTGGTTGGTTGTCCCTCTCTCCGTGACAGTACGAAGAGCTGCAGGCTACGGCAGGCAGGCATGGGGACGACCTCCGTACCACCAAGCAGGAGATCTCCGAGCTCAACCGCCACGTCCAGCGGCTGCGGTCAGAAATCGACAGCGTGAAGAAACAGGTAAAGGGCAGTGTAAATGCATAAGACTTAACTCTTGCTGTGGCCTGACCTCTTGGTTGTCCAGCCAACTCCAGGGAATAAATGTATCTCAGGAGTTCTGCTGGATCAGGAATGAATGACAGTATTTATCTCTTTGCACTAACATTACTAAGAGTAACTTAATGCAATATTAGAAACCTAAGAGTTGTTAATAGGTGTGGAGTTTGATTAACTCCAGAGTGTGACCTGGCTCAGAATAAATTCAATGATTCTTGAGATACCACCTACAGATGGTAACATCTTCTGCATCTGGACCAGGCATCATGACCTCAGGGTACAAAGACCTGGCCCGTGCTCTAGATAACAGTTTTTCCTCCACAGTGCGCCAGTTTGCAGACAGCCATTGCGGACGCCGAGCAGCGTGGGGAGATGGCCATCAAGGATGCCAGGGCAAAGCTGGCCGAGCTGGAGACAGCCCTGCAGAAAGCCAAGGCAGACCTTGCTCGGCAGGTCCGCGAGTACCAGGAGCTCATGAACGTCAAGCTGGCCCTGGACATTGAGATCGCGACCTACAGGAAGCTGCTGGAGGGAGAGGAGAGCAGGTGGGTGCAAGTTTATATCCCAATTTCCAGAGGTGCTGTGGAGTCACAGACCCTTGTCAGGTTTAGACTTCCCACATCCAGAAGACCTGAAACCTGTTTAAAGGCAAGACCATGAAGATGAGCTATTTGGGAGGATGGTAGCCTTTTGCACAAACTTTCACCAAAAATATTTCAAAGAAATCCTCCTGCCTTTCAACCAGTTCCTGTTCATGGGTTCCCCCTGAATTCTTACTGGCTCATTTTGCTCCCTAACAGGCTCTCTGGAGAAGGCGCCGGTGCAGTGAACATCTGTAAGTAACTTTTAAAGATAGTTTGGCAACTTTAACATTTGTCTCCCCGCCACTCGGAGCCCACTGTTTGTGGATGTCTCTAAAGAGGCTGTTTTCCTTTTGCAGCTGTGACCAGAACCGCTGTAGGAAGTGGATATGGAAGTGGAAACTGTCTCAGCTTCGGAGGCAGCAGTGGTGTTGGCAGTGGGGTCTGTGCTGGAGGAATGGGCTTCAGCTCTGGAAGTGGACACGGCATCGCGGGGTCATGTGTCATCAGTGGAAACAGTTCCAGCCTGAAGCACGTCTCCACCACCTCTTCAACCAAGAGATGCTATTAAAGTCAGACATCAGCACTGTTCCCTAATGTGTGCCGAGTTTCCTCTCGTATTGTGTGCAACCCTTACCTTGTTACTTGCAAAAAATTTGGAAGTCAAAGCTATCTGTCCTTATTTATATAAAACATGCCATGCTCCTGTTTGTTTGACTCCCTGAAATCCTCATTTTCCTGTGTTTGTCTAATAAAAGGCTCGTGGAATTAATTATGTCGCATCCTCCTTTTTAATTCCAATTACTTTATAGGACCTTGGGAAAAAGAGTGGTTGATGAAGCAGAAAAGAGCTGCAGGTAAACAAAAGTCATGTGCACAAGAGTTGAGACCTTTCCGTTCTCTGCACTCACTGCAACTCCACCTCTTATATCCAACAGCAGAACAGTTGGATGTTTCATTCCCAACTGTGTGAGCAAAGTCTTTTAGTGTCAGTATCTTCCCCAAGAGGAGAAAATACTAGTCTTCCTAGAAGGCACTAGAAAAAATGTCCTTCTATCTCAATTTATACCTTATGGCATCGCAGCATTTTCATGCCACCTTGATCACACCCAAACCCTGATAATCTTTCAAGTTTTTATGTGATTAGTCATGTAAGGATATAAATCTAGTTTTTTCCCAAGAAAGGAAGTACATCAGCTCATGCTGTTCTGGACATGCACTAGCTGCAGGGGCTAATAAAATGCCGTCACTGCCATTACCATAATTAGACATGGAAAAGATCCATTAAACCTCCAAACTCACCCTCTTTGGGAAGAATAATGTCCCCAGACATTGCTGTGAGATAGTTAAGGACACTGAGGCTAAAGAAGGTTTAGTTCCCCTTTTCTGATGTCCTGAACAGCAGTAACAAGACACAAACTACAAAAACACCAAAGCTCATCTTAAGACCAAAAAAAAAAAAAAACCAAAACCTGTGCTGAGATTCCCAGAGCAGATGATTGTGCTGGTTCAGTCTGACACAACCCTGCCGAGGGACTAAAGCACTAGAGGTAAATGTGACCCACCTTAAGTGCACACTGACTCCTACTTTAAAGAGAAGGTGACAAAATAACCCCCTGCTTTTTGTCAACCTTCTAGATATAAGCACAGTAACACGCTGCTGGAAAGGAAACGGCTCATCCTCTTCAACACCTGACCATCTTTCTCTGGCGTCTCTGGACCATATTTCCACTGACACCATCAGAAATGGTGTTTGGTTTGTTATTTCAACACTGTCCAGCATCCAACAGCCATCTGATGACCTGGACTGTTACAAGTCAGGCTGTTTTCTCTTTGGGAGACCATGGACCTTTAGCTATCCCATCATTCAGCATTTTGGCTAAGCAAAGCATCCAGGCTCCCTTCACAGCCAACAGAAAGGCAGAGGTGACTCCCAAATTATCATCTTTACCAAAAGTTCCTCTGTGCAGATGATGTGTTGCCTGCAAAGCTGACGAGTGCAGACCATGACTAAATTCTTGCCTAGATCAGGACAGGTTGCTCCTACCCTACGGCAATCAGGAAGCAAAGTCTATTTAGCTTTGCTAAAGAAAAATGTGGATGTCTTCAAGGCTGGGCTGGATGTGGCTTTGAGTAACCTGGTCTAGTGCAAGGTGTCCCTGCCCATGGGAGGGGGGTTGGAACTAGGTGATCTTTAAGGTCCCTTCCAACCCTAACCATTCTATGATTCTATGATTCTTTAGCAAAGCACATCAAACTGGCATTTTCAACATCTCTAGATTCCCTTTTGTGGCAACTTCAGTCCCATCAGCTTTAAACTAAATGGGCACTGACGCCATTAACCAAGCCCAGATGGAAATTCTGGATGTTCTTTTTTTTTTCCCACCGGTAATCCCCACTCTGAAGAACACAGGTTAGAAAATCTGGTTAGTTTTATGAGCCTGAAGGTCGACAGCCCATTGCATTAGCGAGTCTGGTGATTAACGGGTTGGGAAAGGTGGCCACGTGCCAGCATACCGAACGGATTAGCTCAGTCAGCTGAGCTGCGGTCCTCTGCGAACAAGCCCAGCACTCGGAAAGGATAAAAAGGGGACTCCTGATCCAAGCTCCCAAAGATTTCTACTCACCTGCCATCTCACCTCATTGTCCTCTGCTCTCGCCACCGATGGACAACCGCACAGAAGTCAGGCAGCATTAGGTCAGGAGGACTCATCATGAGTTTCAGTAGTGTTATGGCCGTCAACCGAAGCAGCTTCAGCTCCATGTCCATGTCCCGCGGCAGTGGTGGAGGCGTGGGACGGATCAGCAGTGGTTTTGGCAGCAGGAGCCTTCACAATCTAGGGGCCAGCAAGAGGATTTCCATGAGCGGAGGGTATTCTGCTAGACCGGGATACAGTTATGGGTCAGGTCACGGCGGGTTGGCATACAGAATTGGTGGAGCTGGGTTTGGGTTCGGAGGAGGATGTGGCCCTGGAGGTATTCAAGAGGTCATGGTCAACCAACACCTCTTGGTACCTCTTAACTTGGAGATTGACCCCAACATGCAAAGAGTGCGGCAGGAGGAGAAGGACCAGATCAAATCCCTCAACAACAAATTTGCCTCCTTCATCGACAAGGTAAAACACATTCCACTTTATCTAGCCTGGCATGTTCGTCACTGCCTCTAGAGTAGGATCAGGATTGCTCTCAACATTGTAAATTTACTTCTAAATCCTTAAACACACAGAGTTAAGGGGTTTGGTCAGCTTGTTGCCTCCACACCCAGACTCCTTTTGCCAGAGATCTAGGGACAGTCTGGACAGGGCACAAATTGGTTTTCCAGGTTTCTTTGCAGTTGAATATTGCTGCTGGTATCCAAGTCTTCCTACCAACGATCTTTTGATGGCATGCCCATCTAAAGCTCACTTTAAATTACCTAAAGGAAAACCAAAAAAACCCATCACATTAAAGCCCCATCTCATGAAAAGTGAGGCAGGCTTTGAGTCGATGATCCCAAAGGATTTAAGTTTTTCTGATGGGTTTCAGGTGCGGTTCCTGGAGCAACAAAATAAAGTGCTGGAGACCAAATGGAGCCTCTTGAAAGACCAAAAAATTGTGAAAAACCGCCTTGAACCCATGTTTGATGCGTACATCAGCAACATGAGGAGACAGCTCGAGGCTCTGGGAGGGGACAGGCTGCGGCTCAGCTCAGAGCTGAAGGCTATGCAGGATGCTGTTGAAGACTTCAAGATCAGGTAAGCAACACACACAGAAAGAAACCTGTCCACGTTTTCTTCACTCTATCTCCTTCCTGAATGAGTTAAAAGACTCAAAACAGCCCCAAAACCGTGAGACCTCAGCATCGACTAAAGGGACTCCCTTCCCCTCACTTTAGCTGCTGCACAAATGTCAGCAGTAGCACTCGACCCGTTGCACGACATATGCAACATTTTGCAGTGACGGGTGGACTTTGTAAATGTTGCAAAAGGCTCAGATGGTTAGAATTCCACAGGAGTTCGGGACCGGCTTCTCACAAGCTTTGTCCGGAGCTTCAGCTTTCCAAATGGTTTCAAGCTCCCACATAGTCATTTTAATATGGAGCAGGATGAAACCTGAATCTTAACCAAACTACCGAGCACTCTGAACACTCACGTTCCTTACCGATGTGGGTTCCTTTCCAGGAGAGGAAAACTGTCTAAAAGGAAATAGTAATTTTAAGTGTGTGCTTAAATGTTTTTCTTTTCTTTTTTAAGTTGTTATAATGTCCCGTAATATCAATGTGTTGTTTTAGCACTTCCAAAAGTCAGGAGTTAGCTTCCACCCCACGGAAAGTCACTGAAATCTTGGGCAGGGGTTTCAGGTCAGCTCATTAACTCTTTAGGCTGTGAGGAGGAGGTGTGCACTCCTTGCACTTTGGAAAAACATCTATCGTTAGTGTCTGCTACCATGCCCACGAGGGATACACTGCCTAATGGATGTGAATAAGTAAGGAGCTTAAATTGTCAATCTGGAACCAGAAAAACCAGAGATGAGAGCTGGGTGGAGGCTGCAATTCAAAATAAGGACACGCGCATTCTGCCAAAAAACCCTCTGCTCTCCCTTTCTTGGGAGATCAAGTGTCTGACACTTTCTGCCACCTTTACCAACAGTGCCTCTAGCCCAAAAGTAGCATTGGAACAGAAAGGACTGCCTTGGGGAAGAGAAATCATCACCCATGGTCTACTTTGAGACTTCTTTATAGTGCCTTCAGAAAAGACATGTATAACAGGAAAAAATTGTCTTGTGTCATTTTGGCCATGTGCGACCTCAGGGTCTGCTACAAATCAGCCACCCAGATGTCCTTCATTCATTTTAGGATGGGACAAATGACATCCCGGAGATAAGTATCTTTCTCCATCAGCTACAGCAAAATCCTCAAAGAGCAGAGTTTAGCCAAAACAGCCAGATTCCAGGCACCTGGCTTGAGATGAATCCCGGCTGTAAGCACAACGCTGGTATTAAATAAGTGGGTGAGAGAGTGTCCCCCTCCTGTTCTCATCACAGGGCTGTGGCGAAAGCAGTTTTAAATTTTGAACAGCAATGTCTAACATTAGCAGAGCCTGGAGCAGCACAGCAGCAACAGAGATTGCTCAGCTGAGAAAAGACTTTCGGGTGCACCCTGGCTTCAGACAAGAAATCCCTTGGCAACCAAAGGTCACACCACAGGAGAGGTTCAGACTTTGTCAGATGCAGGCAAAGTATTAAAGTGGCAAAAATTCCTTCTGGCTTCAAACCAGGCAAAAGCTCTGGGCAAAAGCTCAATTACAACACACACATTGCTGGGCTGGGACCATCATCTTGCATCGTGGCAACAGTGCCTACACACCTGCAAAAAGGACATCACTGCTTCTGTCCCTGTTTCCTAGGAATTTGTTCTACTTGTCTTCATTGATTTTAAACTTCACGGATTCCAAAGTATTTTTCCTAATGCTTTGCTCTTCTGAGTCAAATACTAATCCATACGGCAATTAGAAATTAAACATATGCCAAATTAGTTTTCCTCTTCTACGTGGCTAAGAGCTTAGAGACCCACAAATCTATACATAGGCTGGGACTTTGCTTAATGGAAATTATTTTAAGGATTGGATATTCTTGATGTAAAGAAACCTTCTCCCATGAAAGGGTCATGAAAGGCTAACATTTTATTAGCTGCATGGACTCCTTCCTTTGAACTCCTGCCTTTCATCTCTCCCATTTAATCATTTCATCTGAGCTGGGCATCAGTCCATGGCTATTGCTGGTTTTATCCTTTCCCTAGAGTGGGACAGCACGCTGCTGCTCCATACCTTGGCTTTCCCTGCCCAGGCCATCCCCATCCTCCCAGGCCATCCCCAGCCTCCCGAAGCCACCGCGGGAGCTGGCGTCAGAGATCCCGGCTCTTCTGACTAACCCAGGTGTGGCGGCAATGAGCTCAGCCACGGCTCCACCCAGCCCTCCCGACCTGAGAAAATTTAGAGAGTACAAGGCTCCCATTCACAGCAAAACCTTCTGGGAGGATAAAACGTGCCTTTAATGAAAGCCCCCAGCTTTTCTAGATGGCCTCCTCCCACCACCTAGCCCAAGGGTGCTGTCTTTCTATCATAACCGGTGAGATATATATATCTAACAATGCTACGTATAATACATGCACCGACACAGCAAGGACATAGCAACATTAGGTACCCATTTTTGTTGTTCCCACCAAAACCACAGGCATTGGTGGTCAATGCCCCCTGGGAACAGGCTCTTTGTATCTCCACAAGCACTCTGCAATGAATGTGTGGAGAAGGGGTTTCCATAGGCCCATGGAGGAGAGGGCAGGTTGCAGTACGGAAGCTGTAAAGGGATGTTCATGTCCCCTTCCCAACAGGTATGAAGAGGAGATCAACAAGCGCACAACTGCGGAGAATGACTTTGTTTTGCTCAAGAAGGTGAGGCACCAACAACAAAGAAGGGACACACTTTTTAAAGGCAAAACGCATTTGAATGCAAATAACCCTTTTTATCCAGCAGTGCCAAGCTGGGCAAAGCACTTAGCAAACCTGTAGTCATTCCTCCCTGAAGCAGAAACACCCAGTTGTGCCACTGTGTCAGTCCTTGGCAAGAGCTCGCTCTTGTTTCAGGACCCTCATCCAAAATTCAGGTGAGTCCTGGTCCCCCAGGTACCAGATCAGGTCTTGGTCATCCATTCCTTGTAGCCACTCCATCAGATGCTCTGCCACTTCTGTACCCACTCCCACCCTCCACAGCTCCCCTGGTCCCGCCTGCAGGAGACACAATAAGAAACTTCCACTATTTCAAGCATTGTCCAAAATATCTGCCTGTGCACTGGCAGAAAAAAGGGAAATTTAGTGGCTTCTGACAGGTCAAAAACTGCTTACATCTATGAATATCATCCTTCCCTCCCTTCCAAAAAAGGTGGAGGAAAGAAACTGATTCACTCTTGGCCCTGTGCAAAGGCACAGAGGTCAAGAAAGTCTTCAGTTCTGGTTGGTCTCCAAAGGTTCAAATTAAATGACAACTGGTCCTTGTACAAGGACGCAGACAGGCACGGTTTGGCTCACTACCTCTGTTGTCACGGTTCCAGGATGCAGATGCTGCCTACGTGAACAAGGTGGACCTGGGGACCAAGGTGGATGCACTGACAGATGAGGTTAACTTCCTGCGAGCTGTCTACGAAGCAGTAAGAATCTCCCAAATTTCCCAGTTTCTGCTATTTCCCCATTCTCCTGGTACCAACCGACTCGAACCAGCCTGAGAGTGTGGGTCAGGGCTGCAGCCCCTCCCCATTCCTACCCCTCTACCGCACATGGTCCCTGGACAAGCACAACAGTGAATATTTGGGACTGGAAACGAATTTGTTTGCCTTACAGGAGCTGTCTCAGATGCAGTCCCAGATCTCCGACACCTCCGTGGTCCTGTCCATGGACAACAACCGCAGCCTGGACCTGGACAGCAGCATCGCAGAGGTCAAAGCGCAGTACGAGGATATCGCCAACCGGAGCCGGGCAGAGGCTGAGTCCTGGTACCAGAGCAAGGTGAGGATGTGAAAATTAACCAGGTGAGATGGGAAAATATTTGTTTAGCATTGCTGAAAGGCTGTTTTATACTGGAGAGCACAAGCAGAGAGGACAGGGTGTAAAAGCAATTTGATTTAGGTAGGATTTAATTTCATTTCTTGGACATGTGAAAATGCCACTTTGGCGACAGTAGATAGAGAGGCTTAAGGAGATAGAGGGAGGAAGGAAATATGCTAAAGCTCATGAGGAAGACGGTGGATTCAGTAGAGAAAGAGACAGAAGAACTGGTTAAGAGAGCGCCAAAGCAGGGCCAGTCTCCACCAATGAATTCAAGCTCCTGCCTGATCTGACTGTGCCCTGGTGTCTCATCTCCCTGCCCATCTCAGTATGAGGAGCTGCAGCTCACGGCTGGCCGGCACGGGGACGACCTCCACAACACCAAGATGGAGATCTCGGAGATGAACCGCACGATTCAGCGGCTCCACTCGGAAATTGATAGTGTAAAGAAACAGGTATGGTGCACAGGACCCCTCCAAACATGGGGGCACCTCCATCTCCACTACCTTGCTGTACCCTTACAAGGATGCCTGAAAATCGGGGTCCAAACCCACTAAGCAGTCACCAGACCTTTCCCTGCTTCTCGCAGTGCGCCAGTCTGCAGGCAGCCATTGCGGACGCCGAGCAGCGCGG